GGAAACAACCAAACCCTAGAGGCAAATTGTAGGCAAAAGTGTTTTGATTTCACCAGGCATTGATAGCCCTATTCCCATTAGGGTGTCAGTCACCCCTTGGTTAATGAAAAAGTTAGTGATTATGGCCTACGCAAAGGTTTTAGAATTTACAAAATAAGCATGTGAAAACAAATAACATCTAGAATTCAGAAAACTCTCTCTCACACACACATATATTTTCAAAATTGTCCAATCTTAAACTCATAAACTTGCGAATCTTTATCATCAAAAATAAAATTCCATTACAAATTGTTCACGTGCAACGCAAGTATACAACAACTAGTAGATATAAAAAATAAAAATTAGATGAAAATATATAGGTGGGTATAATTAACGTTATCATAATAACTAGGGATAACGTTATCATATATATATATATATATATATATATATATATATATATATATATATATATATATATATATATAATTCTATAAAATTAAGAATATGGAAGCTATCAACATAACTTACCTAAAATTAACCATTTTGCCTAAAGATTCTTTATTTTATTATGTTTTTCTAGTGTGAAAAATAGCAGTTTGTACCCCAAAAGATTAAAAAATTCTTAATTTACACCCTCACAGTTCAATTATTTTAGATTGTACCATTAATGAAATTAATTGGTACATATGTGAATCTCAGCCAAAACGTCTGTTGCGTCCGTCAAATTGACAGCCGCGTCAAATGTACTTGATATTTTTTTTAGATTATAGCCCTTTCCCTTTTTGCATGCATCTCACGTGTTTCTCAATCTGATGGGAATTGCAACAGATGTTATGGTTGGTGTCACATTACTACCAATTAATTATAGTAAAGGTGTAATTTGAAATAATTTATCTTTGAATGTATAAATTGAGAATTTTATAATCTTTTAGGGTACAAACCATATGCCCTATAAATTCTAGGGTAAATTGCATTGATAGTTCTTGAGATTTGCCGTTAGTCGCACTTTGGTTCTCAAACTTTGAATTTTGTCAATTTGATCATTAAAGTTCACACATTCAACCAACAAGGTCCTTGGTCCTAATTGTCATTCAAAAAACATACAAAAAATGTCACGTGCCTCGCACATGACAATATTGATGGGAATTTTTGTCATTCTGCTTTCAAAACACAGGGCGTACATAGAAAAATAAATAACTCCAAAAAAAAAAAAAACACAACATTACACAAGGCGCCACCCCCCTTTCGCCACTCCATAACACTGTTGACAGTCTCCCACTAACCACTCCTGATAATCTTGAAATACTTCCAGTGATCACATCCATTCCACTACCCTTTCCCCGTGATACCCCTGAGCATTGCCAACCACCAACTATCGATGACCACCCCCAACTTTCTCTTTCTTTTTCTCTACATGTAAGACTCCATGAAACTATCCATATTCCTTAGGACGTACATAAAAAAATAAATAACTCCCAAAAAAAAAAAACACAACATTACACAAGGTGCCGCACCCTTTCACCACCTCATAACACTGCTGACAGTCTCCCAATAACCACTCCTGATAACCTTGAACACTTCCAGTGATCACATCCATTCCATTGCCCCTTCCCTGTGATACCCTTGAGCACTACCAGCCACCAACTATCGATGACCACCCCCAACGTTCTCTTTTTTTTTCTCTACCTGTAAGACTCCACGAACACTATCCATATTCCACCGCTAATATCCATTACCACCATCAACCCTCTAAATGACATTCGCTCTAACACACACACATTCTCAACGTCTTACACAAAAAAAGGTACAAACCCTAACCTTGGCTACTCTTACAATTCTCTATACGGCTGGCACCGCCTCTATCAAGTCGCCCCAACCTATAACACAATCATATTGCTCCTCTTTCTCCATTATTACCCGTGAACCCATAATTTCATATTTTCAATTAAATTTCAAAAAAAACAAATAGAAAATTCTAGAGGGAGTAGAGATAATTTCACTATCAAAATTCAAAACTAATTCTTCAACTTTGAATTTGAAATGCAGAATTTAGATAGTGATCAATTTTTTGGGCTAGTGCCTTGAATTGGAGGTTGATTGCCTATGGAATTTACCACAAATCAAGATTTTGTGTACTATGGTGCGTGTGCATTTGACAACAAGAGACATTTGTGTATTGAGGGGAGAGGGATAGAGTAGATGTGTGGGTGCGGTTTCATGAGACAAAACTGGAGCGATTGGTGTAGAGAGAGAGGGAGAGAGAGAAATCCATTGTGAGTGAGAAAAAAGATAGAGGAAGAAGAAAGTATATGTTTGATACCATATTTAATATTATTCTTAAAGGGGATAGTTGTGTTTGGATGTAAGAATTGTATTGAAATACCAAAAATGTCCATTAATATTGTCATGTGCGAGGCACATGATATCTTTCATCTGTTGTTTGAACGACTGTTGGGTCAAGGACCATGTTAGTAGAATATGTGAACTTTTAGGATTAAATTGATGAAATTAAAAATTTGAGATCGAATGTGTAACAAATGACAAATCTCAGGGGCTATTAGTGTAATTTACCCTACTTCTACTAAGGAAAAATTATATCCAGACCCTTTAAAGTTTGTTACTTAATCACTTAAACCTTTGACATTAAAAATATTATATATAGACCCCTGAGGTTTGTATACGCGTAACTTAGACTTTGCCTAATGTTAATCAATTATACTTAAACCCTTTGAAGTTTGTAGGCATGTACACTTAAGTTCCTCAAATTTAAAATATTACACTTAAACTCCTTATCAGTTACGAAACTTACAAAATCTATTAAATGACCAAATTATCCCAATTAAAGATAGAAGATATTGCATTCATTATAGTTTGACCATTTGCTTTGTTTTTTAGTTTTATTTTAATAAACAATATAATTGTATGCAAATGAACGTTAAATTGAGTTTTTTTGATGTATTTATACTTATTACAATACGTAGTACATATTTTTGAGTCACTTACTAACTTACGCATTGGAGAATCGACCTCCGGAGCTCCCTTTTGGACTCTGACTTCTTTTTCAGGTAATCGAAACACAATAAACTGACGTGTAAGTCATCCAAATTTTGACATCAACAGTACTAACTAAGATTTTTTTAAAAAAAAATTGAATTTTTATTTTTAATTTTATCTCAATAAATGATATAATAGAATATGAATTTTATTTATAAAATTTAAAATATTTGATATTTTATCTTTAATTGAAATATTTTTTTATCTAAGTGTAATATTTTAAACTTGAGGGGTTTAAATGTTATATGTCTATAAACTTCTGGAGGTTTAGGTGTAATTTACTAATAGATATACTAACTAACGTTGATGGTAAAAGTCTAAGTGTTACACGTGTACAAATTTTAGAGAGTCTGTATGTAATATTTTAAACTAGGGGTAACGTGTACCTGAAGGTACGGTACAACATAAATCAACCAATTAATTTAGAAAAGTGAGGAGTGAAGATCATTGAGAACAGTGGCAGAGCTAAAAATATGATTTAGGGTAGACACACTTTAAGTATAATCATACCAATATTTTAAATAATTAATTTTGGTTTGCTAATTTTAAGAGATTGAAATAAACTTTTTGCTTTAGTTTTTTTGTTATAATACCCAACTTGTTTGATTTAATTAATTTTGTTTTACATAAAAAATTGCAGTGGGCTCAATTAATCCAAAAAAATATATAAAACTAATATAACTAAAAAAATATATATTTTTTCAGGGTAGCCCCAGGCCCCTCCTCCTTTATCATTGCTAGAAAGAGAGAGTGAAGAGTGAGAAGTGGAGAGTAAAATTCAATATGAATGATTTTGAGAGAGATGTTGGTGACAGTTGGATGAATGAATTTTAGACTGTAGGATAGGCCTGTTGAAATCGCCCTATTTTATATTATAGATAAATTCACGAAATATGATAAAATTGACTTAAAATTTTTTTAATTTATATACATGTAATCAAAATCGAGTTAAATTTAATACAAACTAAAAATTTAATTTATCAAAAAGCATATCGCCAAAATATTTTCTATCAAAAAAAGATCTATAAATATTTTTTATAAAATATTTTTTTTAATTTGTACAAGCTATTACAAAATTATTAATTTAAAAGAATAAATTAACGTTGGGTATCCTTAAGATATAAAAAAAATTAGTCTTGAATTTTTTATTCAAGATATGTAAAAGACATGTTAATTTGAGATAATTAATTTAAAATTAAAATTAATTATATTCAATATAAATGTGTTTAACAACGACCTTGTTTTGTTTTATCTTAAATAAATTGATGAGATTTTTTTAATCAAAATATTATTATTGTGTCTTATACAAATTTAAAATATTACACTACAAATATGACATTAATGACAAATTTGACCCATTTAATTATTATGTTAGAAGAAATCTTGTATTCGAATATCAGTCGTAATTGTTGACCGATTGGAAGGAAAAATATTAAGAAAAGAAATATTAATTTTTAACCGTTGAATAAATGAATTTGAGATCGTAAGATATGTTTTAAGATCAGTCGCAATCGTTGACTTATTGGGGGAAATATTAAAGAAAAAATTATAATTTTTTAACCGTTGGATGAATGAATTTGAGACCGTAGAATCGACTTGTTGAAACCGCCCTGTTATATATTGACAAATTTGACACATTTAATTATTATGTTAGAGGAAATCTTGTATTCCAATATCAGTCGTAATTGTTGACCAATTAGAAGGAAAAATATTAAGAAAAAAAAATATTAATTTCTTAACCGTTGGATAAATGAATTTAAGATCGTAAGATATGTTTTAAGATCAGTCGCAATCGTTGACTTATTGGGGGAAATATTAAAGAAAAAAATTATAATTTTTTAACCGTTAGAAGAATAAATTTGAGACCGTAGAATTGACTTGTTGAAACGCCATGTTTTATATTAAAGATATTATGAGTTTATATAATTATGAGACGTTTATGTAATTTCCCCTCCTACTAAATTGTCTAAACGTGTGAATGAACTCCATCTCCCCTCTAAAAAATAAAAAAATAAAAAAACCCCATATCCTCTCTGCGAACCAAAGAAGAAAAAGGTAGAAGAAGACTAGAAGAGGCAGAGATGGCTCGGAGCGTCACATACATGACAGGCTCTCAGCTGCTATCTCTCAAGCGTCATCCAAACATAGCTGTTATTGATGTCAGGTACATATATTTGTAGCTATTTTGCAGAGCATAGCATATATTTGTTTCGTTTGTTGTTGATTTGTTGGAATTGTAGGGATGATGAGAGGAGTTATGATGGGCATATAGCTGGATCACTTCACTTTGCGAGCGATACCTTCAGTGACAAAATGCCCAGTTTAATTCAAGCTGTCCAAGGGAAAGATACCATTGTTTTTCACTGCGCTCTGAGCCAGGTCTTTTGCGCTTTGTTTACCCAATTTGGGCTTTATTGTTTCATTATTATTTGGATTCCTATTTTTGTGAGTTTATTGATTTTGATCTCACCCGAATTTCGTTATCTTTCTTTATATGCATACATCTAATATTTGATGAAAGGGGGTTTTGTAATATGCATGTGAAAATTAGTTTCCGAGGGATGGGTTCAGGAAATTATGCTGCTAGCAGCATGAATTTCATAGGATTGTGTTGTGTGGTAGTGGATTGGTGGTGATTTCTAGATGCCAAGTTTTTTGTTGAGTTGATAAAGATTTTTAATTTCACAAATGTGTCTTGTGGGGACAATTTCTTAATTCTGCTTGCCCATGTGTGTTTAGTTTAAGTTCACCTTAGCTACCTTTTTTTGTGGATTGCTTCGTTGAGGATGACCATTGGATCTATGAGCAGTTATTAATTGCAGTGGGTGATTTTGTATATTTGGAGTCAAATTACTGGTCCCATTATGGGTAATCTGATCAAAATTCTGGAATTACAAGTCCTTGGACACGCTGTCATTGCCTGTTGGATTGTATATGTCATTCTTTGCACTTGGTAATATCTGTTTATGACCCCTATATTGAAGTTAAATATTGTCAGCTCACTTTGAAGTTGGATAGGGAGATATGAATCCCCAGCTACAAACCTAAGCAAACCATTTAAGGCTCTTTCCTAGCACTCGGTTTGATAGGGAGATATGAATCCAAATCCCCAATCCACCCTGACGTACGTCTTTACAGACTTGCTGCTCAATATCCCAAGGTACCATGGCTGACATAATGTCTTTACGGCCATGGTGGTTGATACGATGGCATTGTCATAGAGCCAGTAAAGATTAGGGAATTAGGGGTTATGGCAATTGTAGTGAGTTCTAATCTCCTGTTATTTATACATGCCCTTACCAATGAATGCCTAGGCTGGTTATTTGGTTGGCAGAACGTCAATTCCGTGAAGGCTTAAATAAGTTAGTTGGACTTGAGCAATCTGTAAGGGGCTTGAGGAAAATCTTGTTTTTGTAGTGAATTAAGCTAGCTTGACAACAAATAATTGACCATGAGAATACTTTGTTTGCATCAAACGGCAAAAGAATAATGTTGCTGGTGAAGAAAAAGTTAAATCATTGGAAGATTGGTTTTCCACCAGGAAGAAGAGATTGACAGTGGTTTCAAGGTATTTTGTATCTGATGCTGGTAAAGTCTCAACAACTGCCTTTAGAAGACGAGGAGCTATAGGATTCTTTTGTTGAATTGGTTTCTATTGATATTAATCCAAGATAATGGATCCATGTGGTATAACGTGTTAATTTGTGTGCTGCCTTTAAATCCTGCAGTTTTATCCCAAAATTATCCTCCTATTATTGCTTTATGAATCCCATGAACTCAGCACCTTTGCATTCCTAAAAGTTTCAATTGGAAAAACTTATAAATGTTTCCAATAACTGGATTGTTTTTATTTTTCTTTGTCCTGACCAAAAACAAAATATATTTTTCTTTGTAGGTTCGTGGCCCCAAATGTGCGCGAAGATTTTCTGAATATCTTACTGAAATGAAAGAACATGCGGGAATAAAGAATATAATGGTCTTGGAACGTGGCTATAATGGCTGGGAAGCCTCGGGTAGACCTGTTTGTCGCTGCTCTGATATTCCCTGTAAGGGTGACAGTTCATAGAGATCTATTTAAATAAATGCTTCTCAATAAGGGAGCATATTATGTTGCAAAGCTGATTATACAAGTTTTGTACCGCATACTTGTTTGGAATTTCACAGTTGGTATTCTAGAACATGTGATCCATTGTCAGTGAGCATACCTGATTGTATGGATTGATTGCTGGAAATTAGTTTCTGTTGGTCCTTTTTGGTTTCTGTTTAATTACTCAGCTTCTCATCATGTGAAAGAATGGTGGGAAAGAACCCAGAAAGTTACTGGTGTTGGAAAGTTAATTGGCTTTTCCTTTCAGCTTAATGTCTTCTCTCTCTGGCACGTGTGTGTGCGTGTGTGGCCACACACACATTCATGCACTTACCACAGAGAGAGAGTGACCCCTCATGATGAGCGGTGCCATAGGTGAGTTCAAATTATAAAATTAGGCTTTCAAAAACTATATGACAATCTGAGATATAGGGTTTGGCTTTAAATCAAGTCTAATTTCCCATCAAATATGACATGTATCTGAGTTTGATTTAATTTCATTTAGGTTTACTGCCACGTGATTTCTCCATTGGACTGGTGGTATTTACATTATGAATGTTGCATGCTGGCCATGGCCCTTGCATTATCCAGCAGCACTTGGATTCAGAGATAATACTTGCTAAAGAAGACAACCAAGTTAGTGTCTTAGCTGAGTTGAGCTACATTTGATTATCTCTCGGTTGGCTCTGATGCCTACGAAGGAGGAATGGTCCTTGATGAATTGGATGAGGGCAGAGAATATCATAAGAATGAGAGGTGTGGCGTATGTCCAGCACCACACTTCGAGATCGCGTTCTAGTTCTATTTTTGTAGATCGGATGGGACCGGACTACTTGCAGCGAACAAGTTCATGTGCTGTTAGTTGTCTTCCACATTATGCGGAGAGGGAAAAAAACCCTTCATACATGTCTTTTATAATCCAGCAATACAATACAAACCCAACATTTATTCTTTATGATTTGTTGGATGCATATGGTGTGTGTCTCCTTTGGCCAAAGGCGTAAGTTAATATCGCGTACGTATTTCTTGATCAAATTTACATTCCAGTTTGGGGTAAAAAGAGATTTATTCAAGTAATTGAGGGGATAATATAAACAAATTTGCATTTAAGGGGACAAAGTATGATTAGACCAAACTATAGGGCTCAAAGTGTAATTTTATTTTACTTACCTAATTTTTTTATTTTTATTTTCATTTGAAGCGTTTCCCCAAAGAAAGATTACCAATTTTTGTTAAATGTTCTTTGGGATGCAATGGTAAGGGCAACTTCACCCTTATTCAACTCTTGGAGCAAATATAATTTTGGATAAAAATAAACTAATAAGTTATAATTCTGTTTTCAATTTTTTACCCAAATAAAATAAGACTTAAATTTTTAATAATCCTATATATTCCTTTATCCAATGATTGTATTGCTACCTCTTTTATGAATTTTCCTATTCTATATTTTTTTACTCCTTAGTTTAAAAAACATGATGGATAAATTATATTTAAACCCTCTAAAATTTGTCATATAATCATTTAGATTCCCTCATATTTGACATATTATACCTACATCCCCTAAAGTTTGTACGCGTATAACACATAACCTCGATCACCAGTCTTCGTTAATGTAGCTGTTAAAAATTCGTCAGTCTTCATTAAAATAAATATTTTTTTTGTAAACTTTAAGAAAAATAACTCATGATTTTAATAACATGTGTTTTGGTTATTTGTTTAAGCATTAGTGTTAATATGAATATATGGTGTGGCAGGACATGAGTTTTGGTACATCAATTTTTTGTAAAAAACATATCTATTATAATTAGGGTTCTTGTACATCAGGATTTCCCTTTTTTTTTTGGTTTCCTTAGTCCACTGTTTGTTAGCAAATTGATATCAAATAAAAATAGAAAATACTCACTATTATAAAATTTTTAACTAATAGCAAAGAAATATATATTATGTTTCATGAATTTTTAATGGCTACCTTAAGGAGACTGTGATAGGGGTTATATGTTACACGCGCACAAATTTTAAGGGTCTAAGTGTAATATATCAAATATGAAGGGATCTAAGTGATTAAATAATACACTTTAGGGGATTTAGGTATAATTTATCCAAATACATAGACCATTCATCATTTGTGAAGGTTAGATTATTATTTTTTACTTTAATAATAAAGTATTATGCATTTTTTAAGTTACAAAATATAAAAATAACATGACAAAAATAATTGATGTTTGTTTATTTATCTATGCTATTAATACAGGAAGAGGGTGGTTGTAGTGTCAGCATAAGAAATGTTTATAATACCATGTTGTATGTTGAAATGCATTCAACTAAGGACAACTCTTATATCTAATTATATGAATCTACCTTACTCTATTTTTTTTCTTCTGCACGTGAGTACAAGAAGAGTTAAAGCATGATGAAAATAGGAATGCAAAGAGAGTTGGGAATGGAGGGATAATTAAGATAAACAAAAATTTAATTTAATTTAATTTTTTATCCATAAATGATATAATAGAACATAAAAATTTTGTTATAAAATTTAAAATATTTGATATTCTATTTTTGATTAAATTTTTTTTTTAAATAAAATATTTTAAATTTGAGGTGTTTAAATATTATACACATACAAACTATAGGGGGTCTCGAAATAATTTATTAACAAATATTTTAACTACATTAATGACAGATGTTTAAGTGTTAGTGTGTATAAATTTAGGGGTCTGTATGTAATATTTTAAATTTTACTGTATCAAATCAAATTTTTTTTAATCAACTATTAAATCAAATTTAAATAGTGAAAAATTGAGCAATCAGATAGCCTTAAATTTGGAGAAAACGAAGCAGCCCCAGTTGACGCCTACGAACATAATCATCAACAACAGAGACAAAACGGAAAGTCAGGACGAGAAACACAAGGAAAAGGAATTGAAGATGGTACTTACTCGATTCTCTCTCCTTCCTGATCGGTTCGATGATCTCCTAATTTCCTAATCTGGGACTGTTTTTTTGGTGTATGAAATGTGTGATTTAGGTTTGCTTGGCGTGTTTGTTGCCTCTCTTCCTCGTTCCAATCGTCAACATTTTGCCTCTCCTCTTCGATTTCATTATTGTAAGACTCATCCTATGTGTTATATTTTAGCAACTTATCTCTGTCTCCGACATGTGTGTGTGCCCTTCAATTTTAAAAAAAAAATTGTAATTTTTGCAGGGAAAAGTGTATAGAATGTTGGGGTGGGAATATCGGAAGCCGGAGAGAGCACCCGCTGCTTGTCCCTACAAGCCTGCAGCCACCAATCCCAAAACTACTGTAATTCATTTGCCTATATGTCAAGCTTACATTTATATATTGCATATACATTATTTCTTTCTTTTCTTTCTATGGTATATTTCCATTAGATTGAGCCAAAAAATTGTTAGTTGGAGAGTGTGGTTTGGTGGCTTAGATTTGTTGTTGAGGACCCAAGGGTGTTAATCTTGAGGAAATGAAGCCGAAGCTGAAGATTCAAGAGGGCGAGAAAGATGAAATGATTTTCATTCAATTCAATACGAAATCTGTTTACATCATCTACTCTTTATATAGTACATTATCGACTGTAACAAGAATCTATCTAATTAAACACAGCTAACATCTTCTAACAAACATAAAAACCTGACAGTAAGCATAACTAACTCTAACTCTACCAGCTTTGTGAAGTGCCTCATTCTCAATACACCCCCTCAAGATGGAGTGTGAATGTTGAGAATACCCACCTTGCTAAGTAGAAGATGAAACTGAGGGATGCCAAGGGGTTTGGCGAAAAGGTCACCCAGTTGATTGGAAGAAGTGAGATGTAAAGCTTTGAGAGAACCAGCTTGGATTTTGTCAGGAATAAAATGGCAATCTAGCTCAATGTGCTTTGTTCTTTCGTGAAACACTAGATTGACTGCAATGTGAGGAGCAACTTGGTTGTCACAAAAAAACAAAGTTGAGAATGAAGAATCTGAAGGTTAGCAAGGAGCTGACGCAACCAAGTCAATTCACAACCATTTGAAGCCATGGGTCTATATTTTGCTTCATCAGAGGAACGAGAGACTGTGGTCTGTTTCTTGGACTTCCTGGAGATGAGAAAAAAACACAGAATCATGTAACAGAGTGTTTGGTGTCAAGACATTCAGTTCCAATGCAAATCAGATGAGGCAAAGAAGAATAAACCCTGTGCTGGTGTGGTTTTGAGATATCTTAGTATTCTGTGAACTGCATCAAGATGAGGCTGTCTTGGAGTGTCCAAGTACTGGTTTAGAACTTGAACAACATATGCCAAATTGGTCGAGTGAGAGTTAAGTACTAGCCTCCCTATCAGCCTTTTATAAGCAGAAGCATCCTCAAGCTCTGCTCCTGTTTGTTTATCAAGTTTTAAATGTTGCTCCATAGGAGATTTAGTTGGTCCAGCACCAAGTAAGCCAGAATCTTGAAGTATTTCAAGAGCAAATTTTCGTTGACAAACTGAAATGCGATTGGAAGTTCTGGCAACTTCAAGTCCCAAAAAAATATTTCAAGGTACCAGGGTCCTTGGTATGGAATTTATTATGCAAGAAAGACTTTAGAGCAATAGCTAGAGAGGGATCATCAATGGCTATATGACTATGTCATCAACATAGATGAACATAGCAATAAAGGAAGTAGATGTAGTCTTGATGAATAAAGAGTTATCAGATTTTGACCGAGTAAAAAGAGTTTTGAAAACCAATGTCTAGAGGCTTGTTTCAATTCATAAAGAGACTTATTTAAGCGACTAACTTGATGATTGCTTTACTTAGCAAAACCAAGAGGAAGATTCATATATACCTCATCTATGAGATCTCCATGTAGAAATTCATCATGCACATCTAATTGAAACAAATGCCAGCATTTGATTGTAGGAAGAGCCAAAAAAAAATCTTATGGTAGTGAATTTAGCTACGGGAAAAATGTCTCACGATAATCTAAACCCTCTCTTTGTGTAGCCTTTGGCCACAAGCCTTGCCTTGTGTCTTTCTATAGTGCCACTAGCTTTGTACTTGATTTTATACGCCCATTTACAACCAATAGGAAATTTACCATACGAGTGTAATAACAGTCCAGCTGTTATTGGCCTCAAGTGCCTGAATTTCAGAATTCATGGTCTCACACCATTGAGGAGACTTAACAACCTCATGAAACAATTGTGGTTCATAGTTTGAAGAAATAGCTAAACTATAAATCCTGTGAGATGGAGAAAGTTTAGTATAAGAAATAAAATTAGATATACTTTGAATTGTACCTGATGACTTTAAAGCTGGAACCATAGAAGATGAAGAGGATGGTTGAGAAGAAACAACCTGACAGTGATAATCCTGTAAGTGTCCTGGAGGTCTTTTTGTCCTAGTAGACTACCTTGGTAAATCAGTGATAGTAGGAGGAGAAGATTGAAGGCTAGAATTTGCAGAGGATGATGTAACGGGGGGTAAAGAAGGAAGATTGGAAATAGTATCAGACATGGATGAAGGAAGAATAGTAGACTCTGCAACATCATGAGATGAATGAGAAGAAGAATGAAGAAATGGAAATAGATGTTCACGAAAAATAACATCTTTGGATAAAAAAAATAGAATGTGTCTGTAAATTATACACTTGTAAGCTTTGACAGCTAGGGGGTATCCTATGAACACACATTGTCGAGCCCTAGGATCAAACTTAGTTCTTTTGTAAGAAAGAGTTGATGCATAACACAAACAACCAAAAACTTTTAAGTGAGAGTATTGTGTTCTTCTGGAGAACAAAAGCTCATAAGGAGATTGTCCAGCAAGATTAGGAGTGGGAATACGATTGATCAAATATGTTGCCGTTAAGACAGTTTTCCCAAAAAGAGAGTGGAAAATTGGCTTGAAACCTAAGACTACTTTGAGAAGATGTTGGTGTTTCCTCTCAACTACCCCATTCTGCTGAGGAGTATCAAGACAATTGTGTTGATAAATGACCCCTTTAGAAAAAGAAAAAAAGAGGTCATAGTAAATTCAAGACCATTATCAAATTTAATGGTCTTAATGGTTCTGTGAAACTGGGTTTTTACTAGTGCAAAGAAAGATTCAAGTAAAGATCTTGTGTATGACTTGGACTTCATCAAATACACCCAAGTGCATTTGGGAAAGTCATCTACAATAGTTAAAAAATATGAAGAACCATTCAATGAGAGAGTGGAAAAAGGACCTCATATATCAGAGTGTATCAATTCAAAAGGGACCACTGAAACAATCTTACTAAGAGGAAAAATTAATCTATTCTATTTAGCATAATGACAGATGTTACAATGATCAAAGACAAAAACAGAAATTTCAGGTGTATGCTTGTGTAACAATTGTGTTCTCTGTGAAGATAAATGGCCAAGTCTATAATGCCACATATTTGGAAGCACTTCAGGTGAATTGTAAACAGATGAAACAATAGAGGAAGACTTTGCTGTTGGTTCTGTTAAGAGGAAATACTGGCTATTTCGTTCTTCACCCATCTCAATTACCTTCCATGTTAACAAGTCCTGAACAAAATAGTGCCCAGGTAAGATTAAGAATCAGCAAGACATTTGATAAGTAAGTTTGATAGTAGAAAGAAGATTAAAATTGAAAGATAGAGCACATAGAACATTTGTTAGAAAAATTGTGTTTGAAAGCTTGACAACTCCAATATGATTAACTGAGACATTACTTCCGTTTGGTAGCTTGACTAAAGTATTAGGCACAAAAATGACAGAATAAAGGTAATTGACTAAACACACTATGTGATCGGTGGCACCAGTATCTATTATCTAAAGAATGATTGACACAGAAGAATTTAATGAAGGGAAATTTGGAGGTTGGTCCTCCTATATGGACTTATTTGGAGATAAGTCCGTTAAGAAAACTTATTTAGTTTTAAATCTGCTTTTTGTCAATTTTACTATTATAACCCTTCCCTGTAAGAATGTTATAAACGACGTTTATGGACACAATAACCAGAGATAAACATCTCATTCATAATCGCCTTCAAATCTGGCTACAATCTTCCAAACAACAATGTTTCCTTATCCGAAAAACAAGAAACAAGCATTTATAAAAAACCGTTCATATTCAAATTTCAAATCCATTACATTCCATAAAATATAATTTCAATTTATTATTCCAGTTTACTTTGGACTTCATCGACAAAATATTAATATTGAATATTAATATTTAAAAAATAACAATAATAACATACTTAAAAAAGATAGTAATATGGTCACCAAAAATAGTAAAATGCTCACAAAAAAATAGTAACATGGTAAAACAGTAATAATAATTAGGAATTTAATTCAATTAAACTGGGCATTAACCTTGTAATAAAGATTCAAGAGAACTCATCTATTAGTACTAAATTAAAGTGTTATAAATTTTGATTTTGTTGATTTTTTTGTTGCATAAGACAATCGAGTATTTCTTAGTTGTGTTACTGTGGAAAAAATTCATATTACTGTACGTGAACCGAAAAATAGAGTTCAGAATTTCGATGTCTTGATGTTCACAATTAGTGTTGAGTGTCGTAATTCAACTGTTGATTGTGCGTTACTTTTCGTCATTTTGTAAATTTTTAATTTGTGGATCGTATTTTCACTAAAATCATTCGAAAATTGATGTTAATGTAAAAAAATTATTGTCTTGTATTTTGTAAAATTAGATGTGTTACTGAGCACAAAGTTTTGATGTTACTGTGAATATTAAAATATATTACATATTATACGTCTCAAGATTTGCAATTGTATGTTAAAATTCACTATAGTAACATTAGTGTCAGTATAGTAACATGACTCTAATTGTAATTCAATCATATAGTAACATAAATGTTATTATATATTAACATTTGTGTTATTGAACTTTGTTGACATTGTTCAGTCTCTCTATATTATGCATTACTGTTGTCAAGAAATTTTGTAATCCGATTTTAATTTAATAGACCAACAATTTATTCGTATATTAAGCTTCCCATATATAATTATTAAAATATATAACTTCCATATAAAACTTCTGTTAATTATCATAATATTTAATAAACGGTTTCCATATATAACTCAATCAAGGGTTTTCATATATACCTCAATGATCTAACCTATGTGACTTTTCATAACTAGACAAAACTAACACCGTTAGAGGTAATATTAAGATTTAAAAAATAAGCGGACTTAAGTACGTACATATAAGTTTAAACATGAACTTACCCCCAAATAAGTTTTCTTCTAGGACTCAAGTCATTATAAGTTCATCTAGGGGGACTCACTTTCAATTTTCACTTTAATGAATATAGAGAAGAAGACGACATAGTAGAGGTAGATATAATTCCATTACCTGAAAGATTTAGTAAGGAATCATTTTGATAAGTATCTATATGATTTACTACTGGTTGTTCTGTAGCTTTGGATTGAACCTTGAGAAGAGTGAGTAATTGCTAGATCTGATCTAGAGTTATTGATAACTGTGAAAGGTGCTGCAGTTTTGTCATTTGATGATGAGTATTGTCCATTAACTTGATTTGTTGAATTCGAATTGCCTTTTTCCTTTGTGAATCTAAAACCTGGAATCCATGTAGTTTGTAACATTTGTCAGTAGTATGGCATGTTTTTCCACAATGTGTACAAGTTGGCCTGGTCTTGTTTGAGTTTTGTTTGATGTTTTTCTGTTCGAATGAAGTATTTGATCTAATAAGAAGAGCAGCATAATCAATGCTGGGAGAAGATGAGATAGTAATCTCTCGCTGTCTTTCTTCTTAAAGAATCCAGAAAACACCTTATAGATCAAAGCAAGAGGATCTTAAAGAAGAATATGACTGTGTATCTGATTATATGAATCATTCAATCCCATCAAGAATTGAATAACATAATCTTGCTGTTGAAATTCAGCTGACTTCTTCAGCATCAACTCATCCCAAAAGTCCTTTGAGACGAGTATAATAGGAGTCAGAGCTGATCTTGAGCTAAAGAAGAAATTGATTTCTGTGACTTCAGGATTCGAGGTCCATTTGTCTATGAGAACTTTGCTTCCAATTCCTGCCAAATCTCTTTGGCCGAGTTTACATATAAACGATTTCCTTCGAAAGAGTATTCAAAATCCAAGAGATAACCATGTTATTACGTTGAATCCATGAACTGGGAAGTGGATCAGTCGGATCTGTAGGTTTGGAAGCTGTTCCATCGATGAAACCTACTTTCTTCTTGGCACTCAATGCCATGAACATTGATCGACTCCATGAGTTGTAATTCTCTCCAGTCAGTGGCTGAGAAACTAAAAAAGCTCCTGGACTATCTCCATTATGAATGAAGGAGTGTGAAGAATCTTCAGTCGAACTTGAAGTAGAAGATGTAGTTGAATCAGCTGCAATTGTTGCAGAGATTCTGAAATAGAGTAAGCTTTAATTGAGCTCTGATACCATGTTTATCTCGAGGAAATGAAGCTGAAGCTGAAGTTGAAGATTCAAGAGGGAGAGAAAGATGGAATGATCTCCATTCAATTCAATATGAAATCTGTTTACATCATCTACTATTTATATAGTACATTACCGACTGTAACAAGAATCTATCTAATTAAATACAGCTAACAACTTCTAACAAACCTACCAACTTGACAGTTAAGCATAACTAACTTTAACTAACTATAACAGCTTTGTGAAGTGCCTCATTCTCAATAATGTGAGAGGTTAAGTTCCAAATCTGATGAATTGTGTAAAAAGAAAGGTTTCATACATGACTGAGCTGGGACGGAATGAAAAACCCATGGTTTAATAGAAAACATGACCCATGTTAGAGCACAATGGCAAAAGAGAATTCATGCAGCCGACCCCAAAAAAATTGGGACAAGGTGTTCTTGAGTTGAATTGAGTTGGTCGCAGTTGTCATTTCACTTTTCCAGTTGGTATTAGGTGCTTGATTTTACCAGTTAGAGCGTGTAAGTACTTGGTAAAAACTTGGTCATTACACTTCCACAAACTTCCGCGAATTTGGTAGGAGTTTCTAATTTGTATAATGAATTATTTACACTATGTATGTGCTTAATTTGGACTTTAGATTTTAGAAAGTTATTATGATATCTTATTATTGTCTATTTACATATTAGGATAAATAATGCATAATACTTCCGATTGTTAGATTGCAGAAACTAAGGTCTAACTGATTTTCAGTTTCTCAACTCTTAGCTAGACTGTTGATAAATGAATTCATTCCCTGAAATTTGAGTATGAAGTTGATCACTTTTTTTCTTGAGCAATTCTGAAAGTAGTCTATTGCATCCTGATGTATTGAATTATCATTTCAAGAAATATGCATCCCAAAATATTTCAAACCAATCATATACCGATTTTCCATGCTGCTGGAGCTGCCATTGTTTACCTCCCCGTAAAAAGAAGCTGCTGTTGTTAACTTTGGTGCAGTTTTAACACATTGACTTTGCTGATTCTTGAGTCTGTCATACCATCAAAACCTTAACTTGTTTGAAGTCATTTTTACTGCAACTGAAACTGGGTGTCTTACTTGTTGAACAGGTTGCTAGAGAACCTAATTCAGCAGCCCCTCTTTATCCTGTCCAGAAATCGGTAGGAGTCGACGATGGCAAGCTTGAGTGACAGATTCTCTGCGTGGACATCAAAATTGAATGCTTTGTAAATTTTCACAGCGAAAAGACAATTTATCTAGTTGTTGTTTGAGGATAACGATATGCGATGCTGTCAAATTGTTTCTTTGTTATCAATAACAGGTTACTAAGGTGCGCTATGTCTTTTGCAACTTTATATGCTTCTAACCTTCAAAACTGAATTGGTAATTGAGTGGGGGGCTTATTACATTATTCCTATAAAGTTTGATCAGGAAGTCTGATTTGGGCAGAGGCATTTGAACCAAACCCTTTTCTGATCTTCCCCTGCGAACCCACCATTGGCCTTTGGTTACAGTTGGGCTCTTGATGGTGGCCATTGCATGCTCTATTTATGTTTGCACCCCTCCGACCTTGATGAGCCATGTCGGTGCCAATTGTCTGCTGCTAAACCTTTATGTAGTTACCGCTCCTAAAACAAACAGTAAATTAATGGAATTTATACTACTGTGTTTGTAAAGTAGTAGACCCCCTCCCCTTCTTCCCTTTCTATGTTTCTCTCTCCTTAAATGAAAATGCATATGTAATCCTGTCTTGTCCAACAACTTTATTTTTTCTCATCCCTCTATTACGGTATTACCTACCACTCTGACCAACCCTGCCTGCTTGGCCAATTGAATTAATTCATTTGGGAGTCTTTTCTGTATGCATAGAGAGAGAGAGAGAGAGGAGTGGGTATATGTCTATGTGATACTTCGATAAATACAGAATTCCACTGCCTTAAAAAGACATCAAGTTTATTTCTGCAGTGTATCCGTGGACAAACAAAGTATTGTTCAAAACAAAGAAAGTATTCTCTGAAGTGCACGTAAGATTTTTTGATTTTAGAAAAAATAATTGTAGGCGATGGGAGGTAAATTATACTGAGATTGGTGATGGCTTTTGCCACAAGTAAGGAGTTAGAAACTCTATATAAGCTTTAACAGCAATTTCCAATTTTGATAGACAACAAACGTTGTAGATAGACAGAACAAACTTTGTAATTCTATCGAGGGTTCTCCAAGAATAAAACAATACAAGCAAGAAAGAAAGTCAGGAAAGAGCATACATCTCCTACTTGGGTTCTACTTTTGTTGAAAGTGTGTAACCACCGCTGTAGTCAAAGGCATCACTTTCATTAACATCCTTTTTAGGCAGAGCATCGTTGTAGGGATGTTTAGGAGCTCCTCTCATTGATCCAAAGTCTGTGGCTGATGAGGAGGCAGATGTTGAGTTCGTGTTCAGCCCATCGTTCTGTAGAATGGTTTCGAGTGCCTTAACTACTTCACTCATAGTTGGACGGTCTGCAGCTGATTCTTCCACGCATTGCATTGCCAACTCCAGAAACCTCCCGAACCCTATAAGATTTGCCATGCTTCTAATGGATGTATCCATTATCTCCCTCAAGCCATAAGTCTCCTCATCATTCTTATTCATTGCCGTTCTCACCTCACGGACTATGTATTTTCCCTTCTCGATTGGCTGCTTAGCGGTTATCAGTTCAAGCATCACCACACCAAAACTGTAAACATCGCTTTTCTCTGTCAATTGCTGAGTCATATAATACTCTGGATCGAGATAACCCTGCAACCATAGGACAATGATAGATTGGTAAAAACTTTAAAAATGAGAGGTTTTGGGAGCAGTAATACCCACCAGTGTGCCTTTAACTTGAGTTGACACATGCCCTTTTGCACTGTCTGATACTAGCTTAGACAAGCCAAAATCTGCAACCTTTGCTGTTAGATGTTCATCCAACAGAATATTGGTGGACTTGATATCTCTGTGAATTATAGGAGGATTTGCAAGCTCATGTAGATAAGTTAGTCCTCTGGCTGAACCAACGGCAATACGAAGCCTCCTCTTCCAATCTAAATGAATGCCGGATCTCCCTATAATGCACAATATGCAGAACAATTCCAAGTAGATGTTAAAAAAGGTAGCCTTATGCTGTGGTATTTCTCAAATCAAAAAACACTTTCTGATATTTCTAGAACTGTCATCTTAAAAAATTTCCATTTTTGGGGTTTTGTGTACAAGAATAATTAAGTTAGGAATTAGGATCCCTATCCACGGAGAAGTATGAATCTGTGAATCCAATTAAAAGTAGTTGAGCGTCTTTGTGTGACCAAATATAAGTTATATCCAGTTTTTTGCTCTTTAGTGTGTTGGTTTACATACTTCATTGTGGGTTTGTACCAAGTCCCTCTCTTATATTCTCCATTCATCAAATAAAGGTTCCTCATGATCTCTGTCAAAATTTCTTAAGTTGCAAACCAAAAATATAGAATTTTAAGCAGAATTGAGATTACCTGACAAACTTTCTCTAAGTGTCCCATTAGGCATATATTCGTATACTAACATCTGTTCTCCTTGTTCAAAACAAAACCCCACGAGGCCAACAAGGTTCTTGTGATGAACCCGTGAAAGCAACTCAATTTCAGTCTTGAACTCAAGCCCACCTTGCATGGAACCTTGTTGAGCTCTTTTGATTGCAACGAGTTGCCCGCTAGAGAGCATTCCTCTGTAGACCTAAACGGAAAAAACGGAAATAAGTAGCAAATTAAGTAACATTTCCTTTCTGTCAAGGAAGGACTCCAACAGTACCTTGCCATAGCCTCCAGATCCAATCTCATTATTATCAGAGAAGTTATTGGTGCATTTCTTGAGTTCATCATAAGAGAACCATCTAGCTCCTTTCAGTTGTGGTGCATCTCCACTGTCTTTGCCGCTAGGAGCCCAAGAAGCTACATACATAAGAAAAGAAATAAGCAAACAATATTTCGGAGAGATGCATCTTCCAAGACATTCCAAATGCATTAACTTTGCACTTTCTAGTAGAAAGCAAGAATTACCAAATGGTTTGCTCAATCCAATGGCTTTCTCAGCACGTTTCTTTTGCTGAACAGCATATATCCCTAGCCCCACAAGGACCAGGACCAAAATGGCACAGCCAATTGCTATTCCAATAATTATATTCGAGCTGATAGAAGTTCCTCGATGTCCGTCTGAAAAGATTTTTGTAATTTTTGGTTAATTGATTGTTGTTAAATTGTTGTGAAACTGTGCTTTTGGATAAGTATTCATGAAATTTACCGTCGAAGATGTATGGTGCCGCTAAAAAATAATAGGGTCCAAACTCTTCAGGAGGCTTGTAAGTTTGATTACTCAAAGCGAACCCAATCCTCTGAACCCCTGACCTAGTAAAATATTTCCCAGTGGATGGAAAGAGTGCCAACTGAACTTGAAGATAGTCATCGCTATTAAAGAAGGGGTTCTGTAGGGAAACTGAACCAGGATTGAGGCCCAATTTTGTCCACAGGCTCAATTCTAGAGAATGGAACATGTTAGCATTAGACAACTCCCTGAATGAGGGTCCTCTGAAGTACAATGTCCCTTCATATGGATAAGCACAGTCACAGCTCTGAGGGTTGAGTTTCTGGTCGGAAGAACATGATTTGCTTCCACAATTAGCTAGGCTGGTAGAGTAAGGTTTTGCCGTTTGTTGCTGAAGCTGACAGTAATCTGTATTTTCAAGATGACTTGTGCATACTGGGTTTCCAATCAATCTGAAGTACATAAATCGACAGATTAGCAGAAGGTCAGGGGAGAAAATATGCGTTATCATTCACATGGATTGTTAGGATTTGTGACCTCTTACATTAATGTATTTGTGTATCCAGAGCCAAGTGTTACTGAGGATATATTGTTGTTCTCCAAATCAACAAGTTGCAGCTGCGGGCTGATGCTGCTACCCATGTTCAACGTGGCGTTCAGTGCATTGTTCCTCAGTTTCCTGTCAAAAGTTCACAAGAACTAGATCATCACTTTCACTTTGCTTCTTTTTTGTAGGTTATAAGAATTAACATCTACTGATATTGTCTACTAATCTCTGAACTTACACTTGTCCTATCTGTGGGAAACTGAAGAGTCTCTGTGGCACAGATCCTTGAAGTGAACTATATTCCATAACCCTGCGCACCACAGCAGAAATTCCACGTAAGATGGATAGGCAATTCAAGGATATCCCAATGTCGTGCGTTGTGACTTGCTAAAAACTCACAAAGTGGTTAGTGATGATAAGGTTGAGAACCAAGCTGGAGCTTCTGATGGTGTAAAGGAGTTGTTGCTTAAGTCCCTGCAGAGAGACACAATAGCCCATGTTCTTATCAGTCTAACTAAGACTCGAGGCAGATATAATTGGATAAACGATGCATATGTCACTTACAAGTAATTGAGCGAGTCCATTCCAGTCAAGTCTGGTAATGCACCAAACAGGTTGTTGTGTGCTAAATTCCTACAAGAGAACATTAGAGCATGAGGAAGGACATTTTAGTAAATCACTCATCGTTTAAATATAAGCACGTAAAGTTGTATCAAATTGAGAAAACACCCACAGTTCAATAACACTCGTGAGATTGTTGAGGTTTGATGGCACATTGCCTGTTAGGTCATTTCTGTCGAGCCGCCTGTTGCATAGAAAAGTATGTGCATGGCACCAATATCAGGGAGAAAGGACATCTATCAGAAGGTACAATTATGTTAACAACATGAGGAATTCAAGATGGTGGAATCTACTTACAAAACCTCGAGTGTTTGAACTAATCCTAGTGTGGTTGGAATTCTCCCTTCTAATTGATTTCCATCAAACAGTCTGTCATATCAGATCCATAAGCAGTAAGATAGAGGATAATCAAGTTAATGTAACTTGCAGGTGAGTCTCAACTTACACGTGTATTAGTACCATGTCAGAGCTGAAAATTTTGGCTGGGATCGTTCCTGAAAGCTGGTTTTTATTGAAATGGCTGCGCATTTGTAGAAATAAGATGGTTGTTTTAAGCAGTAAAAAGCATCAAAGTGATGTGGACTGGCAAATCAAACTATCCTCACAAGTGTTTTGCCTTCTTAAGGAGGTCCAAGCCTGGGGTGATCATTGTTGAAACAGGAAGAGATCCTGTCAGCTGATTATCTGCCAGGTCCAGCCAGTAGAGTTTCGAAAGATTGCCCAAAGAAGGAGGTATTCCACCAGTGAAGTTGTTCGAGTTCAGAGCTCTGTTAAGGCAAGTAGTGTTAGATAAATGGAGTGGATCGATGTTTAACTCCAGTACAAGCAGAGATCATTATATTGCAGTTCTTACAAAAAAGATAGCTCTGCAAGCTTTCCCAGCTCATTTGGTATGTTGCCACTGAAGCCACAGCCAGCTAAAATTCTGAGAGATGAACAAACGATTATCTTTGAATACAAGCAGATGTGTGTATGTTGAAAAGGGTTTCCATGAACCAGTTATTGGATCTTACAAGATTTTCAGGCTTTGCAAATCTCCTAATCGTGGAGTGAGGGTACCTGTGAGGCCTCGGTTAAATGATAGGTCCCTGCAATAGGTAGTTCAAAAAATTAAGCTAAAGGATAAATGTTAAACCAAACAAAGAATAAAGAGGTATTACAGCTAAGTTTCTTAAACGATCCGAATAGTCGAGCTCAGATAGGACTTAGACTCCACACTTTGAATAAGTGAAAAATTATAAATAAACTAGTTAAGACTAACCCGTCAACCAATCAACGACCCGAACCAGGTGGGACTGGTCAATACCAACCCTTGGCTTCTGAGTTATGCATATATATTGGTAATTGGAAAATACTTTGAATCCCAAATTTGAAAATGTTAGTGTCTAGTCTTTACATTCGACTAAAACAACGAGCGAGAGAAACTCACAAGGATTTCAATTCAGTGAGACCTCCGATATCACCGGTTAGTTTACCCACGAGTCCCATTGTTGATAACCCCCTGAAAAAAAAAACCAAAACTTACCATAAGTTGAGTTTTCTACTAAAACCGGAGGCTTTCAAGTCAAAAATACAATGCTGCTTTAAAAAAAAAAAAGTCAAAAATACAACACCACCACGGTGGCAGCGGCAAATATACAAACACTTGGTGAACGAGACGAAAGGTAATTATAAACATAAACACCCACAGTGCAGTGACCCTTGAGTTTTCGCAGGCGACTCCTTCCCAGGGTGTTCCACAAGCATCATCTGACTTTCCCCAGCTTGGTGGTGTGTTCTGCCACTGATCCTTCAAAGATCGGAGTACCACCACTGCACCACCATTTTTGGTAAATCAAATGTTAAAAGCTCTGGTCAAACAAAGAGGTTGTATATGGGGATGAGGGTCCGTATCGAACAATATTTTCTCTTGTACCTTCACTTTTAATCAATTGAAATACGCTTATATAATTTTTTAAAAGCTATGGTCGAGAGTTGTGGACTTGGGTACCGTATCCTTGCCGGGCCGGGATGAGAATGATCATCTAATCTAGTACTAAATCATTCCAAAACAGGAGCATAATGTATCATACTATCAAAATTCAAGGATTTGTGATAGGGGACCATTCAGAAATCTATTGTCTACCATGGTTTAGAATTTCCCTGCACAATTGAATGAAATGCTACATGCTAATAATTGGAAAAAAAACATTTTCGTCCCTACTGGCATTGAAATTTGATATGGGCAACTTTGCAATGATTTTTTAATTCTTTGAGAAAAGATGGTAAGAAACATTTCTAGTGTGTAGGTTCCTTTCAGGCTTTTGATCCCAGCGATGACATACCCTGTCCCACATACTAGCTTGAAGGATTGAATACAATTCTGGTCATTAAGATATGCTACGATTCCCAGATTAGTATTAAAGTTTTGACAATTTAGTTCTTAATATTGTAGATTTATAGTTAAGTGGTCCAATTTTCATGCAAATATTAAAGATACTACTGTCTAAAAATATACTAAAAAAATGAGTAAATTAAACTCCATAGTAGTTAGATTACAAAACTTGTTATTACTTAAAATTAGAAGCCGATGACTAGACCAAATGATGATATTGGTACTCTTCTCTACCTATAAAAGCAGCCGTGCTTGATGTTTCATGGAATCCCACCAACAGGAACAAGATGACATAACAAGTTGAAGAAAAGTAGCAAAACAGTAATGGAGATCGCTTGTTTTATTTCTGATTCAAATAGTAGAAATGAAATTACCCACGAAGAATCAACATGATCAAAGCAACCAGTAGGCGTATATGTGTGTGAGCTGACACACATTTGCATATGCATGTATGCATGAATCAAAGTAAAGATAGAGCCTTCAGGAACTTACAATCCCCAGGGTCTGTTACAGAGGAGATCACATGAATTCCCGCAGAGAAGACGAGAAAGCAGAGCAGCCCAATGGCTGCCATTGCAACTTATCCCTCAGATCTAGAAGTTGATTTCTTGATGGTGTTTGGTCAGCTCTGCTGCAATGAAGAACAAGCCAGATTTTCTTGTAACAAGATCCACTTTACTACCCTTTCTCTCTTCGTTTCCAACGAATTACAGACCCTTAGTGTTGGCCTGCAATGTCGTTTGGAGGTTAGGGATGGATAAATATCAGCTCTGCTTGGGTGTGCCCGTCTCTGTCTGTTGTGATTAATGCTGCCAACTGAGTGCTAACTACCGCACTTCGTCGAGTGGGTTATGTGCATTTTAATGATTAGCCTTTGCTTAGAAGCCAATCCAGCTACCAATCACCCACTACCCCCTCAAAATCATCGTTTCATCATAATCGTTTAGCCCTTTTCTCTCTCCAAAAGTCTACATCATGGTGATAAATTATGATAACCTGTGTGGATTATTGTAGTTCACGTCTTGCCGTTTCCTCTGCCGGCCCAACATTATTCACGAGAATGACAAAGACAATCAGCTATTCGTCGCATCTTTTCCGAATGGTGGACGACATTTGTACGAATTTACATTTTTTACTACGTCAACACACCGAGCCATTCAATGCTCACTGTCGACAGTAGGATGGTGGGCCAGAATCGAAACCAAACCACTCCCCCCCTCCTCTCTCTGTCTCTCTCTATCCACAAGAGCGAGTTGATTGCAATGGCCGAACGTTTTGATTCTATTTCAAGTTTTCCATATTAACAGATCCTTGCACCAACACCCAAAGTTACAGAGAGTAGGTTACAAGTTTGCAACTTAGGTGATAGTTAGTGCTTTGGGTAGTCGGAAAACAGAGTACAAGATAGGGTTTGCTGAAGAAGAGGCTAATTGGGGTATGCCCTTCTTGTTCTTGAGCTTCCGGGATTACCTTTATGAGTTTGTCTTTAAGTTTTGTTAGCCAAGATTGAAGAGGCCTTTTGCATGCTGATTTATTATACTTGCTGCACCTGTCTGATGCATTTTTGTGGAGTTGATTGTGTAATAGTTGTTCTCTGATTTTGTAATTTTGTTGATGCTTTTAGTTTGTTAAAGTTGGATTGATTTTGCATACGAGTGAACTCTCAAATTTTGAAATAAGACCACATCTATTTGATTTCTAAAAAAGATTATTAATTCTTGACTTTTGAGGAATTCTTCATCAATGGTTGTGAATGATTAATTGTTTTCAATCTTTTTCGATCTTGGTCCCGTAGGAGCAAATCACAAAGATTGAGAAATAAAACCATCTAATTTGAATCGTTCTCACATTTGACACTGGACTAGGGATATTCAAACTATGCCTCCTTTACAAAATTTTTGAGTGCTTTTTAGTATAAAGCTGTGATTATTATGTTTTTTTCTATATTTTGGAGCTCATGGGATATTTGAATAGCTTTATCAGGGGAGAAATACCCACAGAGAAGAGACCAGAGGATTCATATGAACATTTGAAGTTGCTTACTGAACAATAAATGGTTGGACCTGAAATCACTGCTTCCTGAACAAGAAACAATGATCAAGGGGAATGAAATCATACTCCAGCTTAGGAATACCAAATTAGCTATGGATGTTGGATGATTTATGAAAGGGTAATTACTTGGTAAAGTGCTCTGATTGTGAAGGGTGAAAACATGGTTCGAGTGTTAGAATACCTGTTTTTCGTAGATTATGTCGATTTGTCTCCAATGAATTCTACAACTGTTCAATTGCCAGGGTAAAGAGTGACTGATTCCTATTTACAAAATCTCAAAGTAAATGTAATTCTCAGTGAAACAACATAGCTTTGATCCGAAAGTTCTGTAGGTCATGTTCTGCAAGTGATCATGGGCTGATCCAACGAGTCAGTAAGAGGGAAGCTTCATCGATATGCAAGACAGGGGTCTGGTGAGTGGGGCTGAAGGGGAAATCAAGTATCAAATTGTGTATTCCAGAGGACCATTGCTCTTATTCAGTTATTCTCTCCACAGGTGACAGAATTGCGACAGGTTGAAAGTCAGAGAGACAGGACACTAAACTTTGGGGTTGCAGTTTTGATGATGACATTGTTAATTCCACATGATGAGTGTTTTTTTACTACTTTATTGACTGAACATCGATTTCAAGTAAGACTGAATCAAGTAATATGCTTTGTTTGTCGTATCCTTTCTGACGTAGTCTAGGAAAGAACAAGAAGAGTCTCCTCCTTGAGAACAACTTCAAAGCAACAAGCCTTGCGCAGGACTGAGAATCCAACTCCAATACGGTATATTGAAAAAAAGTTTGGGCTTTAGACCCCATTTTAAAGAAAGACCCAAATTTTTAAGAGATAATGAGATGTGAGTATTTTTTTCAAACTTATTTGACTTTAAGTACCACATCCAAACTTATTCTCATTTAAGTCTTCTTTTTCATTAAATAGTTGTCAATAAGTACACATTTTAAAACATTTTCAAATTTTTTCTAAAATGTATTCCATAATTACCCCTACCATAAATAGTGCATATCTACTTGAATGTAAGACTTTTAAGATTCCTTTTGATATTTGTGTACCATTTAAAATTTGAAATTTTATATATATATATACACACACGCGTAATACAGTGACATCAAACAGTGACACGTTCAACAAAAAAATAATAACATCAAACAGTGACACGCTCAATAAAAAAATAGTAACATCAAACAGTGACACGTTCAACAAAAAAAGAGTAACATCAAATAGTAGCACGTTCAACAAAAATATTTGTGTTACTGGTTGATGTTACTATTTTTTTGTTGAGTGTGTTACTATTTGATGTTACTCTTTTTTTGTTAAGCGTGTCACTGTTTGATATATATTTATATATGAAATTTTAAAATTCAAATGATACACAAATATCAAAAAGAATCTTGAAAGTATCACCTTCTAATCTTGAAAGTCTCACATTCAATTAGGTATGCATTATTTATGGTAGGGGTAAAAGAGCTTTTATGACTTTTTTTTAGCACATGTACTTCTATCCCAATTATTTTAAAAAGTATACTTTTATCCTATTAAATTTTTTAGGAGGTACCGGCCTCCCTAAACCCCAATTTTTAAATACCGTAAATAACCCATGTAAAAAAGGCCTTATAAAAATATAAGTCTAATCAATTATTTAGGCTCATAGCCCAATCCAAATATTAAATATTTTTAAAAAATTAACAGTAAAAAAAAAATCCTGAATTCAAAGGTCACATCAAACTAAAAAAAATCAAAAAATTAAATTATTACCTTACTTTTAACTCCCTCTTTCTCTCTCTAAACCAACACAAAAAACAATCTTTTTTTATTCTTTCTCTCTCATTAAAATAAAACCAAAACACTCTTCTTCTTCTTATCTCTCTCTCTCTCTCTCACACACACATTTCTCTCAACTTACAAGAACATACTAACAGTGACTTGGCCTCCTTCCTCCATCATCGACTTGAAGGACATGGTTTAGAACCAAAAGCCAACATTTGAGATTATTCAAGGTTCTATTGTTTCATAATTTTAATTTTTTTTTTTGTGTTATTTGCTTTCTTTTTAGTTTCTGCAAAAAAATATTTATGTCTTAAATTCAAGGTTGTGTTATATCTTTTAACTAAACTATATATTGTGTTTGTTTGGTTGTTATATAGTTATAATAAATTAATAATATGACACTAAAAAAACGATCAAGTGGATACGAAAAATTAAAAAAAAAGAAAAAGAAAAATAGATCAACTAATAGAATCTCAAAAAGAATTTCTTGATAAATTTGTTGCTAGTAACAAAAATAATGTAACAAAAAATGTAGATGAAAATTTTGAAAATGAACCAGTAGACAATGAAATAGAAGAAAATAAAATAAAAAAATATTGAAATAGAAGATAATGAAATAAAAAAATATTGAAATAGAAAATATTGAAATAAAAGATAATAAAATAGAGGATAATGAAAAAGAAAATATTGAAAAATAAATAGTGAAATAAAAGATAATGAAATAGAAGACAATCAAAATCTTAATGAAACAAGTGATTATAATAATATAAATATTTATAATTCAAGTCAATAAAAAAATATTGATACAAAATTAAGAAATTTATTAGTAAAAAATGGTTCAATTAAATATAATAATTTAGATTTTTCTTGGGATGAACTCTCTAGACATTTTTCCACTACACATTATGTTTGTAAATTAATAAATGGGGAAACACTTGATAGAAGATGATTAGTATATTCAAAAGATTTGGATAAAGTATTTTATTTTTGTTACAAATTATTTAATATGAATCATTGTACAAGTACACTAGCTAATGAAGTAACAAAAAACTGAAGAAATATTGGTGTTAAAGCTTAAAAATTATGACATATAACTAATATGAATACTTGGATTGAATTAGAAACAAGATTGCAACTAAATAAAACAATTGATAAAAGTATCCAAGAACAAATTAATAGAGAGAAAGAATATTGGCATAATATATTAGTAAGAATTATTACCGTCGTAAAGAATCTTGGTAAAAATAATTTTGTTTTTTGGGAAAAAATATGAAAAGATATATCAAGAAAATAATAACAATTTTTTTAAGTTTAATTGAAATGATTGTGGAATTTGATTCGATAATGCAAGAACACGTTCGTCATATTCAACAAGATAGAATTCATAACAATTATCTTGGACATAACATACAAAATGATTCGAAAAATTTGTTAGGAAATGAAGTAAGAAACAATATTATTAAAAAAGTTAAAGAAGTAAAATATTATTCAATCATACTTGATTGTACTCCCAATACAAGTCATCCAAAATAAAATGTCTCTCATATTACAATACGTAGATATTACAACAAGTCCAATAAAAATAGAAAAATATTCTTTAGAGTTTATTAAAGTAGATGATATGAGTGGAAATTGTTTATTTGATAAACTTATAGATGTAATAAGTAATTTTGAACTAGATATTAATGATGTACGAGGACAAAGATATGAAAATAAATCTAATATGAAAAAAAAAAACATCAAGGTGTG